AGTGACTCCCGTCAACAAGTATAGGGCCCTCAGAGCAAGCAAAAAGAACTTAAGACCAACGTGGTGGGCCCCTAAACGATCGGTAGCGCCTCGACAGGCTGACCTATGAAGCCCCGGTCATAGGACAGGAACCTCCGAGCAAAGGGGAATTGTTCAAGACTAAATTAATACCCCTCTGCAATCAAGAGTGCACGGGCAGGTTAACAACACGAGTCTTGATAGGAGTGAAAAGTCAACCGCATATGAGACCAAAGGGAGAGAGCCCTCGATCAAAGTAGAGGGCCCCTGAGCATCGAGCGTCTCCGCGCCTTACCTTATAAGAGCCGTAGCAACGGCACAAGGCCCTTCAAGAAAGTAGAAAATACCTGAGATTTATATGAAGGGCCCCTGAGCAACTGAATGTACTCTGGAATATGTGGCCCCGGAAAAAGTGTATGTAGCCTTTCGGGCGAATGGGAAGAATCCGTGGAGGAAAACCCGATTGATCAACAGTGCTCAAGCATGGGGGCAGATAGCGTCCCAACAGCACATTGGGTGCTACGAAAAAATGGGAAGAGATCAAGGGTAACGTGGAAAGGTCCTTAGCGATCATACTGACGCAGCAAGTGGACATATGGAGACAGGCAGCCAACAACGTAATGCCTCTAGACAGCGTAATGAGCCCCAGAATTTCCCCCAAGCAACACTCTCTCAGTCAGCAAAGAATGAACTTCGTTTACTTATGAACCCTTCACTTTTGCTAGCAGTGGTTCTTGGCCATCTGTAGGCCCAAATGCGTCCAATTTGTTGTGCTTTTGTTGTAAAGAAAGTGCGTCCGTCCGGCCGGTTATGGGCCCCTTCGGAGCCTTTAGGTTCCCTCGGCATGGTCCACGAGACATGGTCCTGTACCTCCCCCCCCTCCCCCCCCCCCACCCTCTGCATCCTCCATCGGCCCGAGCAGCTGAATAAATGGGACCCGCTAAGAGCATAGGGCCATCCATTCAAAAAAAAAGCTCACGACGCAACGTGTAGGGTTCTGAACAATCGAGTGCGCCAAAACAGGTTAACATATAGGGCCCCGTCAAGAGCTTGGGGCCCTACATTCAAGTAGGAAGTATTCAAAACCCAATATGCAGAACTCCCGAATGATCGAGTGTGCCCGAGCAGGTTAACAGATAGGGCCCCCGAAAAGAGCTTGGGGCCCTCCATTCGAATAGGAAGTATTCAAAGCCCAATGTACAGGACTCCCGAATGATCGAGCGTGCCCGAGCAGGTTAACAGATCGGGCTCCCGAAAAGAGCGGAGGGCACTCCATTAGAATAAAAAGTACCCCAAACCAGACGTGGAGGTCCCCACGATCGAATGGGCCCGAGCACCTTATCAGATGGGGGCCCCGACAGGAGCTTAAGGCCCTCCATTGAAATAAGAAGTACCTAAAACCCCATGCGGAGGGCCCCGAAAGATGGAGTGTACCCGAACAGGTTATCAGATGACCCCGATACGGGCAGAGGGCCCTAAATTCAAACACTGAGAACCAATGTGCAGGGCCCAACAGCAATCCAGTGTGGGCGAGGAGGCGAACAGAGAGGGCCCCCGACAAGTGCGTAGGGCCGCATTAAAATAGCACGTGCCTAAGGCCCAATATAGAGGGCCCTCCGAACGATCGGATGTACCCGAGCAGGTTATCAAATAGCCCCCCCCCCAAAAAAAAAAAGTGTAAGCTCCCCATTCAGAAAAGAATTCAGCGTAGGGCCCTCCATCCAAGCAGGAAGTATTCAAGACCCAACGCAGAGGACCCCGAATGATCCAATGCATCAGAGGAGGTTTACATATATGCTCCCGTCAAGGGCGTAGGGCCCTCCGTTGAAATAGGAAGTACCCAAGGCCCAATGTACAGGACTCCCGAATGATCGAGTGTGCCCAAGCAGGTCAGCGATTCAGCAAAGAGGTACCAAAACCCAGTGTAGACGGTCCCCGAGCGACTCAGCGTGCCTAAACAGGCCATTAGATGGGCCCCCGATGAGAGTATAGGGCCCTAAGCAAGTGACGGAGAATTGGAAACGCCCTAGACCAATGTAGAGGACCCATGAGCATATCACAAGTGTGTCGGTAGGTTAACGGATACCCACATAAAGGGCCCCTGAGCAACCGAGAATGCCCCGGCAGGTTAAGGTATGGGACTCTGGCTACCACTCACAGAGCCTTTCTGGCGAATGGAAATAATCCGTACAAGCGCCCGTGATTGACAAGAGTGCCCCGGCACGCTAACAGGAAGACCCCCAACAACAGCGCAGGGCCCTCTGAGCAAATGCAAAGAAATGAAGGACAACATGGAATGCTCCTAAACGACCGAAATGAACCTGCAAGGGACATATAGGTCCCCCGGAAACAGCATGTGGTCCTAGACGGTGCAATGGGGCTTAAAATTTCCAGTTAGCAGCTTTTCCAATCATTGAGTAATTTTTGGGACTTCTCATAAGCCCTTCACTTTCGCTTACAACTGCTCTTGGTGGCCTGAAGGTCCAGAGATACCCAGTTTTGTTGCGTTCTGTGTTGAAAAAACTGCACCTGTTCGGCCGACTATGGGGCCCCCGGAGCCAATGGGCCCTTTTGGGGTCCAAGGGGGGACATGCCCTGTGGCCCCCCTCTCTGGATCCGCCCCTGCTTGTTACTGTACGTTTGTGGGGGATACTTTTGTTATTTTCCACTTTCTTGCTCCTCCCCCGAACTCAGTTTACCCTTGATGTCGGACTGTCGTGGGAAGAAAGTGATTGCTCCTAAGCCTGAGGTGTCATTCAGGTGACCACAACGAAATCTCAAATGGGAGCACCGTAAATCCGATATGGGACCCGAAGGGCTGGCTAACGTTCATTGAGGGGGCACGTGTTGAACTCTCAGATACCAGCCAGAGGGCCCGTTGCAACGATTGGGCCCCGGGCTGGGCCTGGGAGCCCATTTCCCAAGCAGGGACAAGTCAGGACCCGCGGTTTACATTGGTCAGGGCACCCCGAGCCAATGAGAGGCCCCTGTGTCAGGCAGGGGCACACAGCGCCTAACCGGAGGTCCGGTGTTGACAAGGGCCCCCGAGCTGGTCAGGGAGCGTACGAGGGTGCCTGAAGATGGACCGATGTGCCCTTCAAGACTGACGAGAAACGGGCCGATGGGAAGGCTGATTGGCCGTAAGGGTTGAAAGGCTGCAGGTCATCCTGGCCCATATGGCTATGATCCCAAATGTCAGCCAATACGCCTCTTTCGCCGATTGTGGACCCCTGGGACAGTGCGGGCACCTATTTTGGCGCCAAAGGGCCTTTTGGCGCCAGGGAGGGCACCAAGGTAGGACGTGCATCTGTGAGGGCCTCCGGACGAACCCATCAGGCGAACCCGCCTCCATGTCGTCAGAATGACAGCTGGTAGACACCCCGGGCTGGGACGGAATTATCTTTAAGCAATTGCCCGGAAGGGTCGTGTGCACCTAACTTTTCACTAATGTTTGCACATGTTACAGATTGCATTACGCATAATGTTTACCCATTACACATTTTCAATTAATGTTTACACATTACGCATTTTCAATTAATGTTTGCACAAGTTCCTGGCCTCATTTACGGTCAACCTTCACGGGATACTCAGTACGCCGCCGTCCGGTATGAAAAACCCAGATTAGAATTCACTCCACTTACAACTGAAGCGAGTCCGCATCATTACGTCACACCGATAGACCATGAAGCCACCCGCCCAACAGCGGCCGTCGTCGAGATTTGAACCCGGTCTTACCGCGTGCGAGACCAGCACGCTAACCATCCACCCACTTGAGACCCGAGCCCGGCAGCAAAAAAAAATGCCATCAGAATAGGACTGGTTCAGAGTGAACTGATGGATTCGATGATCGTTGGATGCATATCACGCATAGAGCCGACTTTTCGTACGGGACTCTGCATATTTGCACTTGCTTCCCTCTAAGGCTGGCAATCCGCGTATGCTTGACACGCATAACCATCTGAAATATTTTTGGAGGTTGTATAAGCCCAGTGCGTAGCGACCCTCCATTTTGGAGGGTGTATAAGTTCGGTGTATAATTATTGATTACAATATCCCCAATTATCATGTTCAGTTCGCCAACGCAAGTTTATTACTTCATGCTTAAATCGAACAATTACTTTCAATAATGTCAAGCCAAGAAGCTCGGCACACAGCCCACCACAGGCAAACAACCAGACAGCCGACCACGCCGCACCACACAGACAACAACCCGCATGAAAGGCCCTTGCCTCACACGCAGACTCCGCAGCGGTGACATGACCAAACACAGGTTCCTGTAACTTCCGCCAGGCGTCCGAACAACTACGGTTTAACGTCAACTATGGAAAAAACTTTCAAAACACCTGAACACTACAGTAATGTACAATCATGGAAAAGTACTCAGCTGATAAAAGTAAGCGGAAGAAGTCATATATCTCAGTTAAAAAGTTGAAAGTGGTCATAAAATGAAAAAACCTGGGGAGCACTGACCCCAGCTAGACCGTGACTAGTCCATTGAAAGGGAACTGCGAAGTGATTGGCGCTTCCGCCTGGCACAGTCACTAACGATAACAATAACACGAAATACACAAATATATGGCCCAACGGATGCATCTGTGGTTTGCAGAGACCATGCTACACGTCATATATCCAACGAAGACCACGACACAAAGAAATGTTTGCCACCAACGCCAAATACCGACCCCTTCCCAACGCAACAGCGGGAAACCGCATAGACAGCTTGATGTCTTTACCACGATTCCTGGATCTACCAAGGTTTTAACAAGATGGCGGCGGTTTAACATAGTGGAAGACGGCTGTTGTCCTATCTAATCCTGTGTATCTATGCTTGGCACACGAGTTAAATATTTCAACACCAATGTTCCCATCACTACCTTCATGGTTACCATGACAACGAGGACGCCGAGGAATTGTCGACCCCGCGGCGACGAGCCTCGGTGTGCGGTTTCCCGCAGGCGGTGTTTATTTGAGGGGTGTGTGCGGGGTGTTGTGTTCCGGTGATATAATCGTTGGTCTCACATCCTGAGTTTGAAGTTCAACATACCAGAAATGGCCTCTGTTAACGTTTGTAGATGCCCTGGAGGCATTTCCGCTCAACGCGAGCCTATATTGAATGTCAAGCAAGAACATTGTGGCGATATTCGAATTACCGACTCATGTCGTCCAGCACCCGTTCCGAACCCGTGCAAATCTATCGAGAAGCCTCAGACATTTGGTCTGAACTTAAATCTTCAGTCAATGACGGGCCAAGATTACTCATCGTCAACCGGCTGCCAACTTGTGCGATCTGCCAATATCATAGAATGGGACCAGATGAACGACCGAAAAGTTTTTGGAGCCAGATCGGACAAGGAAAACTCAGAAATGTAAGTATGGATACCCTATAACTGCCAAAATAGACAGTGTTCAGGCAGCACACGCGTAATGATTGCTGAAGCTGCGGCTTGGCCCGCGTTTTTTTACGGTAGCGGAGGTCGACCTCGACCGGCGCACGACAATTTATATTAACACACCGTTAAAAGTTGGCATATGTGATTGTGATATGAAAAGCATCGCTACGGGTGTCCAGACAACTGCTGATATCAAACCTAGAGCGAGAATCACCCTGTTGTCCAGGCATGCTGACGCATAAACGAGACTCCCTCTCGAATACACGAAAAGTGCCGCGAATGCCTTCCGTTATGGCCCAAAATATTTATCTAGAGCGAGATAATCTGAAGCATTCGGGAAACAGCTTCCACTCATGTACCCTGCTCACAGCATTTGCCTTGTCATCACAGACACAGAACATGAGTGCGCTGGTCGTTTCGTTATGTGATGCACCGGTAACGTAATATACGGTGCGGCGGCCACACTCGAAACCCCCAGGCCCAGACACTCCACTTCCAGGGTGTTTGAACAGATGGTTCGCCAGCCGTCCATCGTTTGCTGTTGAGCTTCCGCTGCTCTAGTGTTTGTTGTTCTGCTGTTCTAGTGTTTGCTGTGAGGTCCGTTCTTGCTGCAGCGCTCGGGGTCGACGCACGGACCGCAGCCGTGACCTCAGATGACCTTGGCCGTTGAAGGCTCGAGGGTGGACCACCTCACTTTGTCCCAGTGACCTCACCCTTGCCTGGACTGCCCGTCGTCGAACTGTTCTCAGAGCTGTGCGTCACTTACTGATCCGTACTGACCTGTATTGACCCGAGATGACCAATACTGGCTTAGTGTGGCCTATTCCGATCAAAGCCAGGATAGCCCGAGCTGTACTGAGCTGGCCCAAGCACCTCAAGTGATCACATGCTACTGGGAGCAGCCCAAGCTGCCCTGGGGTCGACATGGCCTTGTTTTCGGACTGGACAGTACAGGGTGCGGCTTGTAATGCCTCGTGCGATAGTAGTAAGTTTGTATGGTCTGTTTGAGCAAGAACATGAGGGCCAGTTTGACCCAAGCTTTCGGATTCTTTTCTGGACCACTTGGTGGGATCCAAGCCGGCATTCTTCTCCAACTTAGGCGGCACTGACCCATTCAGGCTGAAGGCATTAGAACGTCCCAGCGTGCGTGTACGTGTGCGTGTGCGTGTACGTGTGCGTGTGCTTGTGCGTGTGCTTGTGCGTGTGTGCGTGTGTGCGTGCGCGTGTGCGTGTGCGTGTGCGTGTGCGTGTGCGGGCGCGGGCATGGGCGCGGGCGCAGTCACGGGCGCGGGCGCGGGCGCGGGCACGGGCCGGGCACGGGCACGGGCACGGGCACGGGCACGGGCACGGGCACGGGCACGGGCGCGGGTGGGGAGACCCCTTTTAAGTTAATCATTTTCACTCGCCTACGATGCTATCCATCTCTTCACGATTATTACTAAGCATCGGCCAACATCGAAGAGCCATGACCGCTTCGGCCTACTGCTGCAACGTATGTGGCCAGATCTACTGAGCCCATGCCAGACAAGGACACATCCATCTAAATATGAGCAGAGCATGGCTCAAAACGGCTCAGTGGGCCTGGTTGGAGCGGCGGTCGCGAAAATGGGACGGGTCACATGCCTCACAGCCACTTATGGGTTAAGTCATGCATTGCCATCGTTCAAATCAAGGGCAAAGGCTAGGCCTTCTACGAGCAACAGGGGTTTCGCTTCCCGCCAGACACGGAATGGCCATGCAAGGAGTGGTAGCCCCTCGCTGTGCGGCCGCAAAACTTTTGGGCGCCCTGGGCTGACGTCCTGACCCGGTCTGGCCGTTGCCTGTATCTGCATTTGACGCCTTGGGTCGACGTCCTGACCCGGTCTGGCCGTTGCCTGTATCTGTATTTGACGCCTTGGGCCGACGTCCTGACCCGGTCTGGCCGTTGCCTGTATCTGTATTTGACGCCTTGGGCCGACGTCCTGACCCGGTCTGGTCGTTGCCCGTATCTGTATTTGACGCCCTGGGCTGACGTCCTGACCCGGTCTGGCCGTTGCCTGTATCTGTATTTGACGCCTTGGGCCGACGTCCTGACCCGGTCTGGCCGTTGCCTGTATCTGTATTTGACGCCTTGGGCCGACGTCCTGACCCGGTCTGGTCGTTGCCCGTATCTGTATTTGACGCCCTGGGCTGACGTCCTGACCCGGTCTGGCCGTTGCCTGTATCTGTATTTGACGCCTTGGGCCGACGTCCTGACCCGGTCTGGCCGTCACCTGTATCTGCATTCGCGCCTTGGGCTGACGTCCTGACCCGGTCTGGTCGTTGCCTGTATCTGTATTTGACGCCCTGGGCTGACGTCCTGACCCGGTCTGGCCGTTGCCTGTATCTGTATTTGACGCCTTGGGCCGACGTCCTGACCCGGTCTGGCCGTCACCTGTATCTGCATTCTCGCCTTGGGCTGATGTCCTGACCCGGTCGGGCCGTCGCCGTCACTGTATTGGCGCCTGTTTACCATGCCCTAATATTATTCCACACAGCGGATATCTGTCTCCATATCTCTAGCTATCTCCCAGATCTTATCCGGTTTTTTTCCGAACCCCTGGCCAAAGGTCTTGTCACCCATGCAAAAAACTGTGAGTGCCTGCAAAAATGGCCGCGAACACAAATCATGTTTTTTAGATGGAGCAGGTGTTCGTCCTCGCCAGATTTTGTTCAAAACACGCACGCGAGCGCGGTGTTCGGTTCAAACCAGGTGCGGCTCGACCCGTCAGGAAAGCAGGTTTTGTGAATTGTCTCGACGTGCCGCTGCCCGGCTAGCGGGATTAACCCCAGGCGTGTCAGGACGCAGGTTTGGTCCCAAGGGCTTCATGTGAAATGAATAGCTTCAAACCCTGAATATGCCAACGCACGCTCGTTTTCTCAAAATCCAGAGTGAGCAGACCATTGCGACAAAGCTACTAAGCTTTATTGGATGTTATGTAGCCAGTGAAACGATACCTGAAGGTCTCATAAACCTTCCCCTGCTGAGGAGGTAACAGCAAGAAAGCTTAACTACGCATGTCGCAGCCAAGTACTTGGCTTGAGATTACTTCAGGTTCAGCTGTGCACATATCCACTGTACCACGGTGGATTCAGATATGCCCATACTGACCTATAGCGGTCTGCGTCGGGCAGATGCCGGGCGATGGCCCGTGGGTGATTCCGACTATGACAAGTGTACTGGTTGACCCCGGCCAAACCTATTCCCTGACGTATCTGCACGGACCCCAGGTGTTTTTCATGAGTACATGACCAACGATGTCAACATTGGTCAGCCGAGAGGTGCTAGTTGGGACAGTGTGGCGGCGCCGCTGCTCTCTCCGCATGCTCGGGCCGCGCTGAGCGCCGCCTGATGCGCCTGCAACCTCTGTTGCAGGCTGCGGGAGCTGAGCAAGCGGCAGCAGGACGAGTGCCTGACCACGTGCCGGCACCGGGCCGCCGACACCACCAAGAAGCTCGGTACGGGCCGCGGTCCGAGCCGCGGACCTCCTGAACGTCGGCGCGCGGCGTTGTGACGGGAGAAGCGGCTTAGCGCCGAACGGGGACCGAGACAGCTGTGGCGGCGAGTCCTCCCACCCACCCATCCCCACCCCACCCGCCCGCTCACGAACACCGACACTCCTGGGCATCCGGTTCGCGATCTTGCACACGCTGCGTCAGGCCAGGACGCGCCGGGACAACAGCGGACGGGGGCTCGATGAGCTCCGCTCGCTGCCGTCACACGGAGCGCCGAGCCGGCGCCTTCAGCGCGGGCCCTGACCAGCCGGACGCCGTGCTGTCACCAGGCGGCGCTGCATCTCGCCGCGCTCCCGGCCGATGCCGGTCGGACGGGTCTGCCCGGCGCTGGGACAGTGGGGCCGCAGCCTCCTCGTCCATCAATACACTCGGGTCGGCGTACGACGGATCGGCGCCGTCACCGTACGCTGTGACCGACATAATATGTCCCCCCACGAAGAAAAGGCGTGACTGGTCGCTTGTCGAGCGCGACGTGATTGCCAGCGGTTCTTGTTGCGTCGTGACTGGCGATGATAGACGTTACCGTTCTGCTGCTGTGCGGCTATTGTCCGTGGAATGCTGCATTGAGCGCATCTCGCAGTGGGCGAACGGGGGCGCCTCGCATCGGCTGCGGCGGCGGCGCCGTCCGGCCAGCAGCACCGGCAATGCGTTGATCACTCGAGACGTGGTGCAGCCGCTGAGTGCGCCTGCTCACTGACGCGACAGCTGCCGCGTCCCGGTAGCCGCGTGCTTTCGTGATAACATGATGGCCTGCTGAAGGCGACATCGGAGCTGTCAGAGGCGGCATTCACAGGTGCGACGATGGCCGACTAATCACACGGGGAATGTCGCCAGAGCCGTCCGGGCCCTGTCCAGCTCCGCTCAGTCAGCGAGTACGAATGTCTGGATTTGATAACGTCGCCGATCTCTACCTCTGCCTCTGCCTCTGCCTCTGCCTCTCCCCGGATCCGTGATGGCCTTGGCTGAGAAGAATGGCACGGTGCGTGACATGCAGCTATAATGTGTTGTACCTTCAGGTCGTATAGCCAGCGTCGAAGCGCGCAATTATGCAAGGTCAGTATGGCGTAACTGCATGCTACCTTGGTACTGCGAGCAGTAATGATTCGTTATTGTGGATCGCCTGATGCTGAGCGTAGTTGGGCCCGATGCTGATGGATCCTCTGGTACAGCGAGCTTAGCGAACAGCTCTTTATGGTCTGGTGTTTTATGTGAGAATGGGCTCTGACCGAGCTTTCGCCAGGCGACCAGTACATTGCAGGAGGGTAAACCATGTATCGATGTCGTTTAAGCGGCAGCAGCGGGTGTTGTAAGATGATGCGTGGAGCATATTGCGTCACAGGTAAATCAACGGGCGTGGCGATCACTTGCTGATCGCGGTGAGAAGTGAAGTGCGACTGGTCCTTGAAACTGCTAGTGCTGTTCCCGAGCCTTCGACCAAGGCGTGCTGCTTCTCTTCCGAAATATGTAGCTGATGTGAATCCAGTGGTTTGACCCGCAATGTATCCTGCCGATGGTGACGGGGGCGGTCGGAACGGGCTCGCTATCTCCCGCTCACCGGTTTATCCTGCGATGGTTGACGGGGACGGTCGGAGTGGGGCCGTGATCTCCCGCTCACCGGTTAATCCTGCCGATGGTGACGGGGGCGGAGGGAGTGGGCTCGTGGTCTCCCGCTCACCGGTTAATCCTGCCGATGGTGACGGGGGCGGTCGGAGTGGGCTCGTGATCTCCCGCTCACCGGGTTGCTCCTGCCGATGGTGACGGGGGCAGTCGGAGTGGGCTCGTGGTCTCCCGCTCACCGGTTAATCCTGCCGATGGTGACGGGGCGGATGGAGTGGGCTCGTGATCTCCCGCTCACCGGTTAATCCTGCCGATGGTGACGGGGGCGGTCGGAGTGGGCTCGTGGTCTCCCGCTCACCGGTTGCTCCTGCCGATGGTGACGGGGGCAGTCGGAGTGGGCTCGTGGTCTCCCGCTCACCGGTTAATCCTGCCGATGGTGACGGGGGCGGTCGGAGTGGGCTCGTGGTCCTCCCGCTCACCGGTTAATCCTGCCGATTGGTGACGGGGGCGGTCGGAGTGGGCTCGTGGTCTCCCGCTCACCGGTTAATCCTGCCCGATGTGACGGGGGCGGTCGGAGTGGGCTCGTGATCTCCCGCTCACCGGTTACGTGCCCATCAGGTGCGCCTGCGATGCAGTCCGCCCACTCTGCATTTTTGCACTCGAATTGTGTGTGTTAGCGTGTGGTGCGACAATGATGCAGGTCTACCCAGCGCTGTCTGCGCGGGACAGGCCAACAGCAGACACTTCACTCGTCTGGTTTGGCGTAATGTTCGCATGACATGACCGGGGAGGTTTTGAAACATCACGTGGGTAGTTTTGCCGACAAGACCAGCGCAGCCGGACAAACATCCACGGGTGCGCTGAAGCCAGCTCCAGCCTCAACCACCGTCCGCCAGCCTACCTCCAGACCTTCGCCGTTGCGGGCCGGCCGCAGCAGCTCGACCTAGCCTCGGCGGAAGCGACACGCTGCCGCTGGCCATTTTGAACTGAACGGGCCCAATCGCGCCGAGCGATCCATCTAGTCCGGCTGGACGGCGACTGCCGGCGAGCGAGATAGCCGGCGCCGGCGATCCATCACCACTCTCCGCCGCCTGTCGGAGCGGCCCCCACTTTCTCAGCCTCCGTGGTGGCGCATGGCTGGCTGAAGAAGCGCTCTGAGGTGGCTCCATGCTACCGCTCAGAGTGGGGTCGATGTTGCTCAGAGGCGGCTTTGCACTGTCGCTGATCTAAGAGACAGATGGGTTGGCGTTAGAGGGTTATGCTGTATGCAGGTGCTAAGATGTGACGTGGCAGTGCGTCACGAACTCTTACAGGTAGCTCATAACCCCCGCCCTCAGCCTCCAACATGTCGCCTGCGACCCTTACCCTGGACATCTGACCTCTGATCTCTAAACTGTGAACTCTGAGCTCGGGTCTCTGACCTCTGACCTATGAAATCTGAACTTTAACCTCGGTATCTGACTCTCGCCGCCCGCTACAGGTGAGCGTCTGCGTGACACCAACTACTGGAAGTTCGAGCTCGAGAGGCTGCTGAGGACATGCGGAATGAAATTGACCTGCTGATCGCCCAGAAGAACCGCCTGCGAAACTCCTTGAACGCCTCGCAGGTAGCATCGCACGCGTGCGGTGGCACGGATTTGAATGTCAAGTGCGAGACTCGCGCAATTTCGTGGACAGGCTGTGGGTGCATATAAAACCACGTGTGGAGCTCTATTTACTCACCGTGAGCATGCTGTAGCATGTAGAATATAACGCGCAGAGGCGCGTTTGGATGCCGCTACATGTGTGCGCATAAGCCAAGCATTTACAATATCCCAGTGATTTTTTTGTCTTGAATAGACCATGGACAGACGTTCGCAACGTCCCATCAAATTCCTACCTAGATGCGTATTCCACATGATCTGCGTGCGAGAGCAACAGTCACTCCCTTACGATATGTAGCCACCAGTCGCTCATGATATAGCTATATGTATTTAATTCCATAAACTTGATTCCGTCGTATGTCACTCTGGGCAAAGTTTAAGGCGGAAATGAGTTGCAGGCTAGCTATTGTAATGCTGTGCTTTTCCCGGTTCACTTCATCGCTTGCCATTTTGCAAGCAACTTTATCTGACCCCTTGAAATATTTTCGACGTAAAGGTCAAATCATCGCATCCACCGTGTACATCACATATCGTGCAAATGCATACATGGCGCGCGACTACGACTCGCACGCGGCGTGGCGGTCTATGGTCCCACACGTCTTGATGCGCTCACCGCTCGCTCCAAACTCCTTGCTCCTGTTGACTTCACGATCCAGGCAGCTGTCGGGCGTCGGCGGCGCGGGGCAGCAATGTCAGCGCGGCGCTGCCTCTACACGCCCTTAGGAGCGGCGATCTATTGACCAAGCCAGCATCCCCGCGCCGTGAATCAATGTATATCCGAAATTGTCCCTGGCGAGCGCGCGTTGCCTTCGCTGAGCGTCGTCACTCGCCGCGCCTCTCCGGGGAGTGGCTGGCCGCCGTGGTACGGCCGGTGGTGTCGCGCCGACGGCGGCGCTGGCGGCACTCGGCGGTCCTATCCAGTATCGTGGTCGCCGAGTGCCGCCGGCACAGAGCCAGCCGACTCGTCTGTATTGTAGCCCGGCGCGCCGGGCACGAGACGCTGCCCGGGGACGACCCGAGGCTGCGGCCGTGTGGCGAGGGAAGGGCTAGCTCGGCTCCATGTCAGACAGAGGTGTCGCAGAGGGAGGCCACGCGCGCCTGGTCGGAGCAACGCTCGGGGGCGGATTAGATGAGTCTGAACTTTGAGAGAGCCTGTGACAGGCAAAGCAGAAATTAGGTGCCTTACGGGGTGCCCGACGGTGTGGTTTTTAAGCTGCCTAGGCCTAAGCAGTTCATGAATTGCCTAGGCGTTGTGGAAATGACACAGTGAGTATAAGCACGGAGACAATGCAGTGGCGATGCGGCGATGAGAGATAACCATGGGGTCAACACGCGCCGTAACATGCGCCGGGCGAGTTTCCACACTCTTTCAAACACTGCACACTTTCTTCACCGCACTCCCGACAGTCGCCGGGCCTCAAGGAAGGAGGGAGGGAGGGCCCAGAGCCGAACAGCCAGCGAACAGCGACCCGCTTCTTCTCCGCGATACGGCGTACGGACCATGCACGAAATATTTAGAACTTGCCAGCGCTGCAGTTCTCACCGTGTTTGATGTGGCATGTCTGGGGGATGTAGTGATCGATCGAAGATGCATACCTTCTAGGACTGCGGAGGCTCACCAACGGGATTCAACCGTGGCATTTTTGCGGTCTGGTCATCGCTGGGTAGCCCCTGTAGACTATTTGTGAGTGCAATGTCTACTAGAGGCACTGTCGTCGAGCCATATTACTGCTACCAATGAAAGGAAATGGGCTCACGTCGCTACATTGTTTCAGCAGTGCATAGCGGTGGGGCGCAAGACACAGAGCACGCCATTGCCACCCAGAGGACGGCAAAGCTGATGAGACCGTTCGTGACCGTGTGTCTGGCTTGGAGTAGCGCGTTTTGTCAGTGTAGCCCACGTTTCCGGAATGGCGTCGTTTAATGGGTACCTACGGGTACATTGAAGGCGATTGTTATAATAGGATCTCCCAACCCCGAATGGCGAAAAGCCGGAGCTCAAGGCCTGTCTCGCAAAAAGAAGTGCATGGTACAACCTGAGGTTCACGATCGCTGTGCGTGGCGATGCA